CTTTGCTTTTCTACATAAATTTTAGAATAAGATTGTCTATGTCTACAAAAAACCTTCCTGGGATCTTAATAGGAATTGTGGCATATCTGTAGATCAGTTTGTGGAGAATAGATATCTTTACTATGCCTAGGTCCTGGCAATTGCTAATGTAGTCTCCATCTCTCTAATTTTGTCATTTCAAGAATGTCATAAAAATGGCATAGTGTAAATAACTTAGGCAACCACTGATCTACTTTCTTTTTGTCTTTTCTGAATATTTTGTAGGAATAGAATCATATAATATGTAGTCTTTTGTGTCTGGCATAATGTTTCAAAAGTTCATTCATGTTATAGCATACATCAATTGTTTCTTTTTATTGCAAAGTAATATTCCTTTGTATAGGTATATCACATTTTCTTTATTCACCGCTTGATGGACATTTAGATTGTTTCCAATTTTTGACTCTTATGAATAATGCCACTATAAACATTCATGTACAAGTTTTTGTTTGGACATATGTTTTTACTTTTCTTGGGGAGATATCAAGGAATGAAATTGCTAGGTTGTATAGTGAGTATATGGTTAGCCTTCTGAAAAACTGCCAAAGTGTTTTTTGAAGTTAGAGTACCATTCTACAGTCTAGTAGTTCATTAAATATGAAATGTCTGATTTCGAATCAAAAATGTAGTTTATTATGTCTCCTACAAGAAATGGTACAACTAATCGAAGTATGTGTCTAAACCGTTGACACAATTTTGCCATCTTAAGGGTAGCTTGTTTATACCAGCAACAGAGAAGCCTGGAGAGCCAGTGGTGATGGAATTGTGAAAGGTGTTTTCCAGAGCTTATTGTCAACTGAATATTTTTCCTTGCAAGAAGTGGTCCAAAACGTGGAAAGGAAGTGGTAGTCAGTTGGTGTAATGTCTGGTGAATATTGTGGATGACAGAGTTTCCAAGTCCACCTTCTATAGTTTGAGCAGCATTGTTTGTGCAACATGTGGTCAGCTTTGTCTTGCAAGAGGATTGGCCTGTGCTTTATCTTGGCTGCTTAATTGCAAACAGCCTCATCATTGTGTCCAGTTGGTTGCAGTAGACACATGCTGTAGTTGAGTGACCAGGTTTCATGAAGCTGTAGTGGATAATACCAGCACTGGACCACCAAACACACACCATTAGCTTTTTTTGATGAATATTTGGGTTTAGACTGTGTTTTAGCACTTCATCTTTATCCAACCATTATATCGAATGCTTATGATTGTTAAAAAGAATCCATTTGTCAGCACACATTACGATACGGTGTAGAAATGATTTGCCTTTATGTTGTGACAGCAAAGAAAGGCAAGCTTCGAGATAATTTCTCTTCTGATGCTCATTTAATTCATGTGGAACCCATCTATCCAGCTTCTTTACCTTGCCAGTTTGTTTCAAACAGTCCAATATTGTTGGAATAGTAACATCAAACCTTGCTGCTAATTCACATGGAGGTTGAGATGGATTTGCTTCCACTACAGCTTTCAGCTCATCATTATCTACCTTGGTCTCAGGTTGCTCACATGGCTCATTTTCAAGATTAAAATCACTAGAATGGAACTTCTCAAACCATCCATGTACTGCACGTTCATTAGCTATATCCTTCCCAAACACTTTGTGATATTTCAAGCTGTCTTGCGCTGCATTAGTTCCATGACAGAACTCATATTCAAAAATAACATGAATTTTTGATTTATCCATGATTTCACAAAAATTGCTCTAAAAAATTTGAAAGATAATCACAAGCCAAAAGGTGCGTTTGAAAGACTGAGCATGTACCTTGATAATTAAAATAAAACAAAAAGTATCAAAGTGAAATGTCAGTGACTGACATTGACAACTGTCAAACTTAGTACTTAAGGAAATTGGATATTTCATACTTAATAACATAATACCCAGCAGTGTATGATGGTCCCACTTTTTCTGTATTCTTGTGAACACTGCTTTCTGAGTCCTTTAAACTATAGTCATTTTGGTGCATGTGTAATGGCATCTCATTGTGGTTTTAATTTGCGTTTTCCCCATGACTTATTAAGTTGAGCATCGTTTCTTGTATTTATTCATTCATGTTTTCTTTGGTTAAATGTTATCATATCTTTTGTCTATTTTTAATTGGGTTTGTCTTATTATTGACTTGTAAGATTCTTTAATCTAGATACAAGTCCTTTTTTGGATGATTTAGAAATAGTTTCTATTGGTCTGTGGATTGTTTTTTCACTTTCTTAATGGTGTTTTTTTGAAGAGTAAAAGTTTTACATTTTGATGGAGTTTATTTTATTATGTTTTTAATAGATCATGATTTTGTTGTGATATCTGAGAAATGTTTGCCTAGACCATAGTCACAAATATTTTCTTTGAGAAGTTTACATTTAGGTCTATGATTCAGTTTGAATTAATTTTTTTTGCATATGAATAGTTGTTTTAGCATCAGTTGTTGAAAAGACTATCTTTTTTCCATTGAATTGCCTTGGCACCTTTGTTAAAAATTGATTGACATAAATATCAGTGTTTCATTGATCTATATGCTCGTCCTTATGCCAATACTATGCTGGTTTGATTTCTGTAGCTTTATAGTATTTTTTTAAATCAGGCAGTGTTAGTCCTCCAATAGTGTTTTTCTTTTCCAAACAATTTTTTGGATAGTCGGAGTATTTTGCATTTCCATATGGATTTTAGAATCAGATTATCTCTTTGTACAAAAAAGCCTGCTGAGATTTTGACAGGGATTGTGTTGAATCTGTAGATCAATTTGGGGAGAATTGCTATCTTACTAATATTGAGCCCTCCAATCTATGAACATGGCATAACTCTCCATTTATATAGATCTTCTTCACTTTCCCTCAGTAATACTTTATAGTTTTCACTTTATAGGTCTTATAATCCTTTTCTTAAATCATTCTTATTTTCTTATTTTTGATGTTATTGGGAATGGAATAGTTTTCTTTGATATTCTGTGTGTGCAGCTCTGTATTGGGACATATTCTCCTGCAACTATGAAATGTGATGATAGTGAGGGAAGTCTAGCCTGGTCATTCTTTTTTTTTTTTTTTTTTTGAGACAGAGTCTGACTTTGTTGCCCCAGCTAGAGTGCTGTGGGGTCCGCCTAGCTCACAGCAACTTCAAACTCCTGGGCTCAAGGAATCCTTCTGCCTCAGCCTCCCAAGTAGCTGGGACTACAGGCATGCGCCACCATGCCTGGCTGATTTTTTTCTATTTTTAGTAGAGATGGAGTCTTGCTCATGCTCAGGCTGGTCTCGAACTCCTGAGCTCAAAGGATCCACCCACCTCGGCCTCCCAGAGAGCTAAGATTACAGGTGTGAGCCACCACACCCAGCCTAGCCTGGTCATTCTCAGCAGTTCTTTTATGATCTTGTGGAAGAACCACCATACCTAGATTAATTGGAATGCAGACTGCTTCAATTGAGAAAAGAGCTGACTAGAATTTCAAAAACAAATGCTGTGATACAATTTTTCCATGTGTCACCATGACTTGAGTCAGTTCAGCTACATACACCTGAAGGACAAATTTGGAATCCACATTATTGTTATGATGAAGTCAGACATTAAAAACCCAGAGTTTATAAATCACATGGGTCAGTATTAGCATATGTCATAGGCTCAATGACCATTTTTCTCCTTAAGTGTGTGTGTGTATGTATGGGTATGTATAAAGCTCTGTATATCAAACACATTGTCTCCAGGTAAATGTGAGTGGGCCATCCTGCATCAATTTATAGGGCAACAAAGTTTGATGCCTGGCCCCAAAATTCCCTTTCTCCCCAAGTGAAAAGTCCCCTCTACTTTAATTGTCCTATACTCACCTCTCTAAAAGAGCCATCTAAAACATTTAATGTACTTCAACATTATGATTTACTTAACTAATTATATTTGGTATAAATGGATTAAACTAGGTTTTTATATTTTTTAGTTTTTTGCTTATTAAGTCAGGAAAGGTGATTACCTTTGAAGGACTGTCAGGTCATAGGAGTGATGCTGGTGCTGGTGGTTGGGGAGGGCAGGAAGCCCCACGTCACACCAGGCCCACCAGAAGGTCAGTCTTTGAGGTGTGCTTGTGTGGTCAGCAGCCACGAGGAGGGCAGTTCCCTGTCTCTCTTGTGAAGGGCGCCATGGCAGAGACCTGCCCGGCTTCAGGTGTTCTCAGATGCTGCTGGTGAGAGAGTAAGAGCCTGTTGTTGGCCTCCGTTGTCGTTACACTGGCACTGGCTCCATGTGCTGGGCACATCGAGGAGGTCTGTCTTCACGTTCCCTCCATGCCTGCTGCCATCTCTGCTACCTGGTCTTAGTTCTGGTTTTCCTTCCTTGTTTAGCTCATAGATGTGTATTGCATATTTACTAGCACCTATGGCAATATTCTCATGAGCATTTAAGGATGTATTTATAGAGACTGAGTCTTTCTACAGTCCTTCTTTCCCCCAAATATTATTGGGCGTCCAAGTGCCTTTTATTTGGTGTCTGCCTCTGGCAGATGGTGTTGCTTACAGTGGAGCGCGCCATTTGGAGATAGCAGCTCCTTATTAGAAATGTTGCTCTGTGTGTGGATGCCAGTTAGGTTGTTACTTCGTTGAGGAGTCCCAGTTGGTACTGGTCCTGGGTATAGCCACTTGGGACTTGAGATGTCTTGTGTTTTCACTTTGTTTCAAGCAGATGAATTCAGATCTTTGTGGCTTTTTGTAAACCATAATGCAATAGTATGTTCTTTTCTAAGAGTGAAAATTTTCCTCTGAATTTTATTTTTTAAATATGGATTATAGCTCTCTCAGGACTAGTTTTCATTTGTAACATATATATTATAACATATATATTATGTTACATTATATATTATATTATTACATATTATATTATATTTTATAGCATATATATTATAATTCTATATACATTTCTTTAATAAATATCTTTGTGAAAGAAGAATGTAATAGAGATATTTCAAGATTGAATGCTATTAATTTTTCTGATTTTGTTTTGGTTTTAGGAGAAACTGGCTCTTCGACAGCAGCTGAATGAAGCAAAGCAGCAACTCCTGCAGCAGGCAGAGTATTGTACAGAAATGGGAGCGGCAGCATGTACCCTCTTGTGGGGTGTCTCCAGCAGCGAGGAAGTCGTCAAAGCCATTTTGGGAGGAGTAAGCATGACTGACGGGCGGTCTGGATATTGTTGATCAGTGCTTGTGTAACTTAGAGGATGCAGTCTGTCTGTTCAGTCATTTAGAGACTGAATTCATGTCTTTCTGTCCATTTTTTTTTAAGGGATGGGATCTTCCTCTGTCACCCAGGATGGAGTACAGTGGCCTGATCATAGCTCATTGTGGCCTCAAACTCCTGGGTTCAAGTGATCCTCCTGCTTCAGTCTCTTGAATAGCTGGGACTACAGGTGTGCACCACCATGCCTAGTTAATTTTTAATTTTTTTTGTAGAGATAGGGTCTCACGGTGTTGCCCAGGCTAGTCTCCAACTCCTGGCCTCAAGTGATCCGCCTGCCATGGCTTCCAAAGTGGTGGTATTACAGGCATGAACCACCATGCCTGCCTGTCCATTTGCTTCTGTTCATTCATCAGATAATTATCGAATACCTGCTATGGATGGTCCATTGTAAGCTGGTGCTCTTGGGGATATATAAAATGAATGAAATGAGATTCCCTTCTTTCTAGAAACCTATGTGGTATATGTGGATATTACCACTTCAATATTATTACTTTATATGTATATGAGTTTAAGAAGGTTTAAAGTGCTTTTATATATATTATTTCATGGTTATGTAATAAATGTATTGAATGTTATATGTTATTTAACATATATACATATGTGTAGGCATGTGTTTGTGTGTGTATATATACAGTTGACTTTTGCACAGTGTAGGAGTTAGGGGCACCAGTCTCCTGCACAGTTGAACATCTGTTTATAACTTTTGATTCACCAAAAACTTAACTACCAGTATACAACTGTTGATCAGCAGCATTACTGATAACATAAAACAGTTGACTGACACATATTTTGTATGTTACATGTATCATATAGTGTATTTTTACAATAAAGTAAGCTGGAGACAAAATATTAAGAAAATCATAAGGAAGAGAAAATATATTTACTATTCATTAAGTGGAAATGGACCATCATAAAGGTCTTCATCCTTGTCATCTTCAATTCAGTGGGCTGAGGAGGAAGAAAAAGAGGAGGGGTTGGTGGCGCTGTCTTGGGTGGCAGAGGTGGAGGAAGTGGAAGAGGAGGCAGACATGTGCTGTGTAACTTTTGTTGAAAAAAAACCCACATGTAAGTGGACCTGCACAGTTGAGCAGTTCAAACCTGTCTTGTTCAAGGGTCAGTTGTTAGTGTGTGTGCACGCACATGCATGCATGTGTGTATCAGGGAACTTCACAGAAGGGGACGGATTTGAAATAGGCCTTGATGAATAGGGTGAAATGGCAGAAAATGGGATGGTGGCTCAAGAAGACAAACAGCACAAGCAGAGGCATCGGATGAGAAGTGTAAAGTTAATTCTGGGACACTCAGTCGACACAATGGAGAGTTAGTGCAATAAAGTAGTGGGGAGACGATGCTGGATAGGTAGGTTGGAATGTGATTTGAGACCTTAAATACCAGATTGATGATTTCATCCTATAGGTGGTGGGACTGGATTCCTTAAGGATTTTTAAGTAAAGGAGTGTTAGGGTAAGAGCAGAATTTTAGGAAGATTAACATAATAGTAAGGATGGATTAGATGGTGGGAGTTGTGGGCACCCAGTGTAGACAGGAAGACTAGTTAGGGGCCATTCTAGCAGTTGAGGCTGGAGTGAGCCTGGCTCTGCAGGGACATGGGAAGGAATGCATGAGTCGTGGGGGTGGATGAAGATGTGGTGGGAGCTGGCAGCTGAGGGGATAAGGGGCCAGAGAAGATCGGGTTTGACTGTGGTAGGAGGGTGTGGTTGTGAATGGAAATAACAGTGAGACGTGGATGTGTGGCAGGAAGCCGGTGATAAATACTTAGCTCTTGTGGAAATAACAGTTGTGTTTGACTTTAGGTAGACAGACAATGTATGGTTAGAAAAATGTGTCGAGCTTTAATTGAGGTATGATTTATATACCATAAAGTTGTAAGTATATAATTTCATGGTTTTTAGTAAATTTCTAGAGTTGCATATCCATCACCACAATCTGGTTTTAGAATATTTCTATTGCCCATGAAGTTCCCTCTTACCATTTGTAAATGCATTGTTTTAAAAACTTTTTTTTTACCGTGTTAAAATGTGTATTGGTTTTTAAATTACTCTTTAGAACCCTGGCCCTCCGAAGAAAGTATTAGAAAGTATTATAATACAAAGGTTCTTCAAATTTAGAAATATTTTTTGCCAAGTAATGAAGATTTAAACTGCCAGAGGAGTCAGTCTTTATCTCTTTTACATGTTGAGGTTTTGGTTAAGACTTTTTTTTTGAAAAAAAGTTGTGCTAAGCTGGGTACAGTGGCTCATACCTGTAATCCAGCTACTTGGCAGGCTGAGGCAGGAGGGTTGCTTGAGCCTGGGTGCTGGGATTACAAGCATGAGCCATCAAGCCCAACCGTAAAGGGAACTTTTAATTAATTTTAAGGAATAGATTTTAAAATATTGCTTCTATAATTAAAATCAGAGTCTTTCCTCTATATCCTGCACTTTTAAAATGTTTTCATGCCAGTATCTGTGAAAAGGTGTGACACTTTCATTTCTAAACTTTCAGGATAAAGCTTTGAAGTTTTTCAACATCACTGGTCAAACAATGGAGAGTTTTGTGAAGTCACTGGATGGTGATGTTAAGGAGCTCGATTCGGATGAAAATCAGTTTGTTTTTGCTTTGGCTGGAATTGTAACAAGTAAGTACAGGCATACCTCAAAGATATTGTGAGTTTAGTTTTCAGATCACCCCCATAAAGCAAGTCACAAATTTTTTTGTTTCCCAGTGCAGTACATATAAAAGTTATGTTTATACTATACTGTAGTCTATTAAGTATGTGATAGCGTTATGGCTAAAAAACCAATATACGTACCTTAATTTAAAAATACTTTAGTGCTAAACAATGCTAATGATCATCTGAACCTTCATTGAGTAGTCATTTTTTTTTTTTTTTTTTGAGATAGAGTCCCACTGTGTTGCCCAGGCTAGAGTGCAGTGGCACCATCATAGCTCACAGCAACCTCAAACTCCTGGGCTCCAGTGATCCTCCTGTTGTATGGAATGGTGATTATAGTCAGGGGTGCACACACATAAACATCACAGGAATGTTTTCAGATATTAGTGTTGAGCCTCCCCATGGAGGATATGAGTCTGTAGATCTGGGAGAAGTACTAGGTTTGTATATTTTGGAAAATCACCCCAGTTGATTTTGATAAGTATCAGTTATTAAGAATGACTGATCTAAAGGAAACACAGGCCAGTTTGCATGTTCTGTGTAATTATGTACATCAACAGAATTTTTAAAAACCCTAAGTTTAGCTACTTGTTATTTGTAGTCATCATTTTACTAATGTCTAGCTAAAGTGAAAGCCTTAAGCTAAACTTAAATTGAGCTCTTACTGTCATTTAGTACAATACTTAAAAAATTCCAACAATCTAAATTGTCCCTTTATATTATCCTAAAAGATTATAAAGTAAACCTTTCCCTGGGAATTATGATAAAATTCTATAGCAAAACTATTAGAAGGGATAAAGTCCAGGGACTAAATAATTTCTTAATATAGCAAGGGGTGGTATATACTATTGAGTATTGTGGCTCTTTATTCTGAAGTCAGTGAAGTGGTTAAAGAAATTGCTGTGACTTATCTTTTTACATTTATCTTTCATCTCTACTGTATCCCATGCTGCTCTTACAGTAATTCTCTGCTATTAAAGAGACGGAAAATTTTATTTTCGTTATGGCATTATCCTCTTTTAACTGAAATCCTAATGAGGTAGATCCTGTGTAATTCTCTGCTATTAAGAGAGGGAAAATTTTATTTTCCTTATGGCATTATCCTCTTTTAACTGAAATCCTAATGAGGTAGATCCTGTGTAGGCTTTTCTTTCATAATCTCTTAAAAATTGGTGATACTTCTTACAGCATGGATGCTGAGATTGTGATGTTCTGTGGCCGGTCCTGACGTGGCCTAGCACTTGCGTCTAGGCAGGGCAGCTTTCTGCATGCTCATCTTGGCACCTGCAGCTGCAGCAGACTTGCGTTGCTCTCCCTTTTAAATTGTTTGAAGGCTGTTTTTTAATAGAAGGCATTTGCAGATTTGACGATTGGGTTTTCTTTTCTCTGCAAGTCACCCCAAAAGTCTGTGACCTATGTGATTTGGCATTTTGCTGAGTTGTTGTGAATTTGAATTACTTGAACTGCCACCTGGCGTGGTGGTGAGGCAGTAGGTTAGGGTAGTAGGTAAAGCCAGCCTGTTGCCCAGTATTCAAGCTCAACGTCACTTTGTTTTTCCCTGCTTGTGGTGGCTTACCGAGGAACCCTTATGAAGAGCTGGAAAGTGAGTGTTGACATTTGCACATTGGTAAATTTGGGAAGATCACATACTCTGCTGGTGGTTTATTTAATGCTGATTTGTGGAGGCCTTGGGAGCTTATGCATCTCAAGTACCAAGACAGTTAACGTGGAGAATTGGCCACATAGCAGAGATCATGGGTTAACTGTCAAATAGATGCTCTTCCTTCTAAAACAAGAGTTCTTTTTTTAATTTCACATACAGTAAATTCATTCTTTACAGTTGTTTTTCACCTTTTTGGAGTTCTGTGAGTTTTAACAAATGCATGTGGTCATGTGAGCACCCCATTTAGGATGTGGAACTCCCATTCTTTCACCCAGATCGCCTCCATCCCTTCCTTTTGTAGTCAGCTCCTCTGCCCACCGTCAGCACCAGGCAACCACTGATTTTTAAATTTGTTCAACACTTTAATTGAGTTTTTCTTGCCATCTTACATGATATGTAGCATCTACCCCAGGTGAGCAAGTGCTTGCCTCATGTAGCTGCTTGGAGGACATTGCCTCCTCTTATTTTTTAGATTGGTTGATCTCCAACCTCAGCACTTTGATGTGTTCAAGAAAAGTTTTGATTTTGTAAATTATCCCATCCCCCAAAGAATGGGGTAGCTCTTTCCAGTTTACTGTATCCTAAGCAAAAGCTAGAAATCAATTTATTTAAACATTGAAGTTGTTAAATTTCTTATCCATAGTCACTGTTCTAAATGATAAGTTAGTTAGTCTGGATTTTTGGCCCATCTAATTCACTTCCCAGAATGTAAAGTCTCTGGACTGTATTTCTTTATCTGCAAGGTGGAATAGTAATACCTGCTCTAATTACCTTACACATTGGATATATTGAATGGGACACTAAAGAAACCTGAGCACCACTCAGTTCGTGTAAAGAATTTACAAGGAGAGTATGGTATTTACATTAGACACTACAGTGAAATGGGTAATAGTTATTTTGTTACTTGTTCATAGATTTTGGACAAATCTATATCCTTGACCATTAGGGTTTTTTTAAGTTAATTTTTTTTTAAGAAACTGCATCTTACTCTGTCAACCAGGCTGGAGATCAGTGGCCCAGTCATGGGTCACTGTAACCTTGAACTCCTGGGCTCAAGAGATCCTCCTGCCTCAGCCTCCTGAGTAGCTGGGACTACAGGCACACACCACCATGCCTGGCCAGTTTTTCTTTTCTTTTCTTTCTTTCTTTTTTTTTTTGAGACAGAGTGTTACTCTGTTGCCCAGGCTAGCATGCTGTGCTGTCAGCCTAGCTCACAGCAACCTCAAACTCCTGGGCTCAAACAATCCTACTGCCTCAGCCTCCTGAGTAGCTGGGACTACAGGCATGTGCCTCCATGCCTGGCGAATTTTTTATATATATTTTTAGTTGTCTAGCTAATTTCTTTCTATTTTTTTAGTAGAGACGGGATCTCGCTCTTGCTCAGGCTGGTCTCGAACTCCTGCGCTCAAACGATCCTCTTGCCTCGGCCTCCCAGAGTGCTAGGATTACAGGTGTGAACCACCACACCTGGGCCTTTATTATTTTTTGTAGACATAGGGTCTTGCTATGTTGCCCAGGCTGATCTCCTTGAATTCCTGGCCTCAGGTGATCCTCCCACCTTGGCCTCCCAAAATGCTGGGCTTATTGGCATTAGCCACTGCACCTGGCCAACCATTAGGTTTTTAAAAATTGGTAATGTTTGGTGATTGCAGGGACTGGTACAAGGAATTATGAGTCCTTTTTCTATTGAGCTAGTCATAGTTAGCCTAAGAGCTTCTGTGGCTTTATTTCTAGAGGGTATCAAAGTAGTTTAGGTACAGATTTAGAAGAATCCATGTGGATTCTTCTGAGTTTTGTTCCAGTTACTTATGTCCTTAAAATCTTTTCCTTATGTGGATTCTGGGACTACAGTTAAATTGGCAATTTCTTGAATCATAAATAGTGTGAACAAATTAATACTCAAATCAGCTGTAATTTGTCTATTGGAGAATTTTCTGGAACTTCTCAAAATGATCTTTTTGCAGTACTTTTTAAATGCCAATTCCATTTGCAAAATAAATCTTATTCATTAAAATTTGCAGGGGTTGTGTCCTAGAGAAGTCAGAAGTGTGCTTCTGATGATGACTCAGAGTAACAGATACAGGTTGTAGAAATGAAAGATGCTGGGAGTCTTCCTCTCCAGAGAGTACAGTGTTTGGTAAGGGAGAAATTATGAACAAATTGAAAGAATAGGAACTGTGCTTGTAGATACCATAGGAATGATGAGGACTTTGGCTTCGAGCTGTTTCTTTTATGATGGATCAGCAAGTCATAGAGTTTGGCTAGAAGTGAAGCTGTGTCACTGTCAGCCTTAGTGTAGATTTTTCAATGATTGGGCTTCCTACGAGTGGTCACTCCACAGCAGAAACTTGCCTAACCTGGTGGAGGCAGGTTTTGCAGGTGAAGGCACCAGCAGGTTGTAAGAGAGATGGGAACATCTCCCGGGAGTTGCTCTGCCACAGTAGACTAACAGCAGCAAACAGGAGGACAGCGGGCTTAGCCCTCTCAGTCCCCAGGTTACAGGTAATTCTCCCTGATTTGCCTTCTCACCACAGAAGCCAGGTCACCCACAGTGGGAGAGAAACTGAATCCTAGGAGCCACTTTCCAGCAACATTGGGCATTCCCTCCAACTGTGGAGGTTTCCAACCCTAATGGCCAAGTAACTGAATTGATAAGGAACCTACCACCACTAGCCCAGGCAGGTGCAAAGGAAGAAAAACCAAGCAATAAAACAGGGTAATAACATTAATGTTAGAGGAACTTTACAAGGTAGCTCATGTCTCTTTCAAAAAATATAGTACAGTGTTAGTGCCGCAGGTAAAAGGTTTATAGAAGACAAGTCCAGGATGAGTAGTAGGGACTAAGTAGTCCACTGAGCATGAAAGTTATATCTCTATTATTATTTTACTTTTTAAACAGCTTTATTGAGATATAATTCATATACCATACAGTTTACCAATTTAAAGTGAATAATTTGATGGCTTATAGTATATTCATATGGTTGTATGTCTGTCACCAGTCAGTTTTTAAACATTTCATCACCTCAAAAAGAAACCTAATTTACCTTATACATCTCTCCCCATTCCAGGCATCCCCCCAGCACTAGGCAACCACTAGTCTACTCTCTGTCTCTAGAGATTTGCCTGCTCTGTACATTTCATATAAATGGAATCATATAATATGTGGTCCTTCGTTTGATCTTTTGTGTCTGGCTTACTTCATTTAGCATGATGTTTTCGCCATTCATTTCGACATTGTAGCATGTATCAGTGCTTTATTCCTTTTTAGGGCTGAATACTGGTATACTGTATGGATATACCG